ACTCGAAAACAGAAGAAATCTGATCCAAGAAAATAAAAATAAGAAACAGAAAACTAGAGCCAAGAAGAGTCCAGAATTGGATGACTTGTTGACCACCAGTTGCTCATCACAGGAGTCAACCACTTCTGATGGCGACAACACTTCACTTAAATCTTTGGTTAATAAGCAACTTATGGTCACAAATAGAAATCATCAAAAGTCTAATGAGTTATCAATAGTGCCGGTCGTAAGACCCATCACTGCCTACAACATGACATTCAATGAGATAGAGGGCATGAAAATGACTGAATTGGTCGATGCGGTCAAGTGTTTGGATATGTGTCCAGTAGTCGGCACTAATGATATCATTGTCGCCAATCTTTGGGAGGCTATGCGTGTTATGAGCGCCAGAAGTGATACTTATATAAGGAATACAATTAAATTGTCTAAATGTTTGACTGCTTTCAATAATGTGTGCGAAAGTGATCAATTGATCTTGATTAAGTATTCAATACTAGAAATACGAATTTTACACATGATTTTGAATTTAGACTTTAATGATATGTCTTGGAGAGTAATCGCCGTAAGTGTTGCCGACTTTATAAATAGTAAGCAAAGACACTTATATTTAAAATGTATTTTTAATTAGGAGAATAACGATTCATATATCATAAAAATGAATCTATTCAAGCAATTAACTACATTTCCAACGGAATGTCACATTTATAATTCATACAAAGATTTTTACCATTATATTTAAAATGTATTTTTAATTAGGAGAATAACGATTCATATATCATAAAAATGAATCTATTCAAGCAATTAACTACATTTCCAACGGAATGTCACATTTATAATTCATACAAAGATTTTTACCGAAATATGGGTTTAGACTGGGAATCGGATACAAGATTACTTGACTTGGTAATAACTACATATAAATATTTTTTATTGTACAAAAATCTCTAAATTTCAATTTTATAGCTAACTGCTATAATACTATTTAACCCTGATCGACCAAATCTAATGCATAGAGAAACTGTTCAGTGAGTTATTCATTTAAATAGTGCTTGATTATTATAGAAATATAATTAGTTGCTATCTCATTTTACAGGTATCAACAGAGTATTTACGTATATTTGCTGAAACGCTATTTAAAAATGAGATACCAATCGGAATTGCTATCGAAAACAAAATACTCAAGATTAATTAATGATTTAAAGTATTTAACTATTATTAACACAAAAATCGCGTTAATATCAAGGCAAATTAATTTATTTCCGCCACTATTTCTGGAAATGTGTGACAGAAATGAGTAAAAATGTAATGCCATTTACAGTATAGTAATTTTACTACCGTATTTGTTGACAAAAAAATTATTGCCAATAACCTATTCACAATATTATTAGATTTTATTTACTATCTTAAAGACTATAAATTTTATTTTGTAAAGATGGTATTTGGGAATATATTATGGGAAATGTTAAATAAAATGTTTGTATAACTTATAACTTATAACTTATAGTTTTATGTTTAATACCGGTATAAGGAGTATTTAAAACAGCTGTTAAAGTGTATAAAAAGGGCTAATAATAAAAGTGAGTATTAAAAACAACTACTTAAATTAATAAGTGTGTAAAATGACCGTGTAGCTCTGTATAAAATTAAAATGTATAACATGATCATAAAATGTGTAAAAGTCCTTTTATTATTTTTATGAAATTTAATTTGTGCTAATATTATTTGTGTTATAATAAAACTTTTAGTTTGCAATACTTTACACAGTATTAATGTATAAACTATTACAGCATAACATTATGTTACACAAATCGTATACAATATTTCATCATTGTATTATATAATATATTATGCTAGTGACCTTGATCACATACAGTCTGTGATTGCAGAATCAGTGAATTTTGAAGTGCTATGTAAGTATACTATACTTGTCATTAACTGATCAATGTAAATATTAATAAATAAAATGTCGGATCAACTAAAACAAAGACTATGTCTTGTATGCGGAGATGTTTCGTGTGGTAAGCCATTAGTGAACAGAATATTCATAAAAAATTCTCACAAATTCTGTGAATCCAATGAATAGGATATCACTTCGAAGTACTGACGTGTGAATCGTGTAAATCGTTTTTCCGCAGAAATGCGCTGAAAAATGCGGTAAAATATAAATTATGCTAATAATATTACCCAAGTATTAAGTATATTCCGTAAATATAGCATAAATTTCATTGTTTTTTGGGCGGAAAGTGCACTATAACTGTGAAGAATCGGAAAAAGTGCAAAAAGTGTCGTTTGGATAAATGTTTGGCTGTGGGAATGAAAAGTGTATGAATTCATGAGAAATTCTAGTAATTGTTTCCAACTTTAAAATGTTATAATGAAAACTTTTAGAGTTTAATATACAATGAGAAACGCAAAGAAATCCGAAGACATATTGTCGAAGAGAACCGACAAAAGCGTCAAATGATAGCCGAGAAGACAAGAGAGGTGGCCGTCGACTCAAACACCAGTTCCCCGTCTGATCCCAGGAATAATGAGACAATCATTTCGTTTGACTCTTTAGATGTGAATAGTTTTGCCGAAGAGTTGGTCGCCAATGAGTACACAAAGTCTGACGACTTATGTGTGTGTCATAAAAGTAAGACAATTACCAATCGGGAGGACGAGTGGCAGCAAACGACCGGTGCTCTCGTGAAGCCGATCACCGATACTAGCAATCAATTCAATGAATTAGAAAGCAATCGATTGATTGAATTGTTGAATGCATTGCAGAAAATGCAAATCTATTCATTTAATATGATTAAAACAAAGGACCCTACTCATTTAAGGGACTCGCATGAGGCCTGGGTCATAATTATGTCTCAGAATGAGCGAGCTATACAAGAGGTTGTGAATATGTCGAAATGTCTGCAAGGATTTAATAATCTGTGCGAAAACGATAGGATTATATTACTTAAGTACTCGTCTATCGAAATCGATATCTTAAGAATGATTATGTGTTTTGATTTTGAGCAACAAGCGTTTAGTATATTTATTGTGAGTATAGTATTTTTAAAATTACGGTATAAATATTTGCTAAATAATTACTTATAATTTTGATGAACTAGGATGATAAATCGTATGTCTGTCCACTGGATTTGTTCAAACAAATGCCAAAATTACCTGAAGAAATCTACGAACACAATAAATCGTTTCTACAAAATATGGGTCTGGACTGGGATTCAGACAAACTTATAATTGATCTGGTTATTAATTAATACAAATTAATTAATACTGTATTTTAAACTAAAATAATGCTATCTATCTATTTTCAGTTGTCAGCTATTATTCTGTTTAATCCCAATCGACCAAAATTAATCAATGCTAATATGATTAAGTAAGTTATGATTTTAATTAATATTATGGTAATATTTTTACAGTTAATAAATTTTACATAAATTATTATAGATACCAACAAAATATATACATATATCTCCTGCAACGGTATTTGCAAATGAAATGCAGGTCACAAATCCTGGCGAGAGCTCGGTTTACACGACTTACCAGAAATCTGAAATACTTGACAACTTTAAACAATTATCTCGTCATTAATTCACAACAAATGGACTTAACTTCGGCACCACTTATGAAAGAAATATGTGACAGAAATCATTGATAAGTGTTACTATCTTTAATATGTAACTTACATACTGTATGTTTTATTGAGTATTAGTATTAATAAATAATTTATTTACAATTAATAAGCATTTTATTCTTTAAAATATGATTATTGTTTAATCGAGAGATACAGTATACGATATTTATAAGAATTATAAATAATATTATGCATAGGGTGCATAACACATGGATGTTTATTTTCTATCAAAAATCTCCTGAAAAAGTGGTGGAAACTGTAGACCTTCAATATGAACATCTGTAGAAATTGCACGCATTTTTTCATTAATAATATGTAAATCTTTTAAATTGTTTATTAATCGCTGGAGTTTTCTATTCGTAAGAAAGTCTGAACGATATTTCATTTGTAGGTAACGATGTAGTAAATAGATGTAAATATTTTGCTGCAATCTATAAAATTGCATAGAATATAGTAAATGATCAATTAAATATTACACTACCAGGGTATATTTAATAAAGGTTTTTGAATAAATTGAGGACTTACTTAATCACATGTTTATTTATAAGGTGCGGACGATTTGGATTAAAAAGTATTATAGCCGTTAACTATGCGATGAATAAAAATTAAAAATTTCAATATAGTTTGATTTTAATATACAACAATTGGTAATTAAGTAAATTACCAAGTCTATAATAAGAGTGTCTGATTCCCAGTCAAGTCCCATATTTTCTAAAAAACATTTGTGATTATTATAGGGACTAAGAGCCATGGGAGCAATTGGTGCTGCCTTAAATACATCCAATTTCAAAGTATATGCTTTGTTATCCTGATAAAATTTTAAAAACGTTAAGATAATTTTTAAAAATACACATGATAATGTGTGTGTTAAAGATACATACAGACTTTATAGTCCAATATTTGTCCTCAAAATTAAAGTTGCAAATCATCCGTAAAATATTGATTTCAATAGCACCGTACTTGATTAACACCATTTGATCATGCTCACACAATGTCTTAAATGCTTGCAAGCATTTGGACATTTGAATGATTTTTGGTATTTGAGTCTCCAATGTACCCATTAGTACGTTAATGGCATTTAGAAAATGATTTATGGTTGAGGTCTCGGTAGTAGTGACAGTGGGAAAGACCACAATTTTTAAAGCATCCAATAATTCACTCAATCGATTGCCCTCTAATTCATTGTAATTATTGCTGTAATCAGTGATGGGTCTCGTGATAGGTATGACCGACAGATCCAAATCATATGCATTTGTAGTCATTGAACAGACACTGAGACTATTATCTGTAGATACCTCTGAAGAGGTCTGACTTTCATCATAACAGATGTCATCCATAATAATATCATCGGATGTTTGGGGCGATAGAGAAGGAGTCAGAGAAACCCTTTTATTATTGATATTTGATATAAGATTTGCTTTTCGTTTCCTATTGTTTTCAATCATAGATTTTCTCAATTGTTTTTGTTCATCAGAATAAAATAAATTCTAATAAAAATTATATAAAAACAATTACTTTTAAATTTAAATTTCTTATACATTACTCACAGTTTTCATTCCGACGGCAAAACACTTATCTAAACGACATTTCTTGCAATTAGTTCTCGTCTCCAAATCTATTCTACAAATCCCTCCCAAATAACATGCAAATCGAGTCTATAATTATAATTACAATAAAAAGACTTTAATTATAGATTTATAACTAATTTATTTTATAAATTACCTCATTTTTCAGGGCATTCCTACGGAAGAATGATTTACACGATTCACAAGTCTGTGCATCGAAATGAAAGCCTACTTATAAAACAGTCAATTATTTAATGCAACAAAATTAAATTATATTAAATTAGTATTTTGTAATCAAATGACATACCTGTTGACTTGTCACCACAAATGAGACAAACTTTGTC